AACAAAACAGTAATTAGCTGGGCGTGGTGGCATGTATGTGTAGTCCTAGCTACTTGGGAGGTTGTGTTGGGAAGATTGGTTGAGCCCGGGAGGTTGAAGCTACAGTGAACCCTGATCGTGCCATGGTGGTCCAGCCTGGGCAACAGAGTGAAACCCTGTCTCAAAAATAGAAAAGAAGAAAGAAAAAGTAAAATGTATATATATGTATTTTTTAAGTGGGGGAGTTTGAAAAATGGTTAATTGGCTTACAGTAAATTTTTCTTGCATGGACAAGAAATGGAATGTTCTGGGTAATTCAGAGCTTTGCTTGGATGCTACATTTTCTTTTTTTCTTCTCTCTCTCTTTGTTTTTTTCTGAGATGGAGTCTCAATCAGACACCCAGGCTGGAATTCAGTGGCGCGATCTCGGCTCACTGCAACCTCCACCTCTCGGGTTCAAGCAACTCTCCTGCCTCAACTTCCCAAGTAGCTGGGATTACAGCTGTGTGCCACCACACCAGGCTAATTTTTGTATTTTTTAGTAGAGATAGGGTTTCACCATGTTCACCAGGCTCATCTCTCGAACTCCTGACCTCATGATCTGCCCGCTTCAGCCTCCCAAAGTTCTGGGATTACAGGTGTGAGCCACCATGCCTGGCTGATACTGCATTTTCAAAGAATGACAGCACTGAAATACTCTGCATACTAAAACCACATGGACTGTAATTTAATCTTTACTTTCATTCTTATTGTCATTCTCAAAGGCTCTTCAATATATTTTAAAGCTGTGTTTCTCCAAGAGTGGTCAAGGAAAACCCTCAGCTCTCAGCCTTCTCATCTGATAGAGGTGTTTGTTCAAAAACTACCATTTTCTGAGCTCCCATCCCACTGAGTCTACTTGGCCCACAGTTTTAGGGTAGTGAAAGTCAAAATATGAATGTCGATTATCACTGCACTTAAGAGAGACAGACATTCTGCTTAAATGAGAGTTTTCTGGCCGGGCGCGGTGGCTCAAGCCTGTAATCCCAGCACTTTGGGAGGCCGAGGAGGGTGGATCACGATGTCAAGAGATCGAGACCATCCTGGTCAACATGGTGAAACCCCGTCTCTACTAAAACTACAAAAAATTAGCTGGGCATGGTGGCACGTGCCTGTAATCCCAGCTACTCAGGAGGCTGAGGCAGGAGAATTGCCTGAACCCGGGAGGCGGAGGTTGCGGTGAGCCGAGATCGCGCCATTGCACTCCAGCCTGGGTAACAAGAGCGAAACACCGTCTCAAAAAAAAAAAAAAAAAAAAAAAAAAAAAAAAAAAAAAAAAAAAAAAAAAAAAAAAAAAAAAAAAAAAAAAAAAAAAAAAAAAAGGAGAGTTTTCTGTATCATAGAGTAGTTTCATCTCAAAGTCTTTGCTAAATCATCACCCTTCCCTTGAAAATGTTGTTGATTTAAAATCTCATCTCGGTCTGGGTGAGGTGGCTCATGCCTGTGATCTCGGCACTTTTGGGGGCTGAGGTGGGCAGATCACCTGAGGTCAGGAGTTCGAGACCAGCCTGAACACAGCGAAACCCCATCTCTACTAAAAATACAAAAAATTAGTCAGGCATGGTGGTGGGCGCCTGTAATCTCAGCTACTGGGGAGGCTGAGACCGGAAAATCGCTTGAATCCAGGAGGCAGAGGTTGCAGTGAGCCAAAATCACATCACTGCACTCCAGCCTGAGCCATAGAGCAAGACTGTGTCTCAAAAATAAAAATAAATAAATAAATAAAATTACATCTCACCTTCTACCCCATGGCGCCCACCCTCCCTATTCCCTTCCTCCTCTGTGACACTTACAACATCTAACTGAACACACCATTTATTTATCTATTGTTCATTCATTCATTCATTTATTCATGTACTTATATGACTCCCATCTCTAGAATGCAAGCTTTACAAAGGCAGCTGCTGGGACTACAGCACCCAGGACAGTGTCTAGTACGTAGAAGACATTCGGTACACACGTGTGCCAAGTTGCATAATATCATCTGCCCACTGTCTTTCTCAAGAGGATTTTTTTAAAACTATAAAGCAAATTCTTCTTTTATTCTCGGAGTGATGTTCTGTGTGTGTAGTACCAGAGAAAATGAGCTGGAACCACATCCTCTAATCTCTTAATTCTGAAGTCTGGGCCAGTTGCTCTAAAGATAATTTTTCCTTAATACCACTGAGATCCTTAATTTACTATGAGGATCATGCATTTACAACTGCATTGGCCTGTGAGGGCTACCTCTAGAAGGACTTGTTTCCCCTACTGTGAACAAAGTGGACTGAAGCTGCGCTACTGAGATAAACCTGCAGTGAAAGAGGACTTCTCTAAGTCTAACCTATGTTACTGTGATACGCACAAGCTACTGACTAAAAGAAACAAACGCTTCCTCCTCGAGATCCTGAATGAAGATGCTAATACATGGATCCTATCTCAAGCTACTTCTTACACAGCCTTGCCTGGCTCTGAACAGATGCCCTTACCCATTCCCCCCTCTTTTTTTTTTTTTAATCCAAAATGTGTTTATTGAGATGGTTTCCCACTCATGTTGATTCAGAGTACTTTTAGTGCTGCTTCCTCCTGAAGGAACAGTCATCTGTAAGCCTTGCTTTTCCTCCCGCAGGCTGGCAGAGGACAGTGGAGCAGCTAACACACAAAACTACCATTCGTTCGTGGCTAAAGACCCTGGTGATTTTATAGCATCTTGGGCATTTCATATCCATGTAGGAATTAGGGCTCTGCATCAGGCGTTTCTTCTTGTGTTTCCTCTTACCCTCTTCTGGAGAGGGTTGGAGATCCTTTGCGAGAGGCGTGTTCTCGTGGGTAGGTGGTCACCGCAGGAAAGGATCCATTTCCTATCCTTCAGGTTCATCTGTCCAGCAGCACCAGCACACAAATCGATGCCCAGGAACACTGGGAGATCCCTACTCCCTGCACCTCTCCATTAACCTTTTTTAAGTTCAAACCTAAGAACAGTCAGCTTCCTAATACTGCAGAGGCCACCTCTTCACCCTCTTCTGTCTTTCCTATGACACACACTGGAACGCTTTTGTGTTGGAATGGTAAAAAATGCCTTGTGTGGGGTGCCCCCCAATCCCCAGTCCAGGAGATGCTGGGAAGCTGTGGGGCAGAGTAGGGACACAAACAGGAAAAAGCAAGTTTGTTCCTAGTGTTATGCTCACAGAGTGACAGGATATACCTGCTGAGCGTTCCCAGAAGGTCCCCAAGGAAACCATTACTGTAAGTCTCTCCTGTTCTTCTCTGCGTGGTGGCTGGGGTAAGGGGAGGGAAGGAAGGCTAACAAGAGGGGGATGGGCACCCTTCCAGGGGTCAGAGTTATGATGCCCAGAGCTGCTGCACACATGAATAAAAGGTGTTGAATTCAGGATGTATGTGAAGGTGAACAGCAAAGGGCTTGTCACCAAGGGCTGTCACTGGATTACACCGGATGGATTAAGGTAGGGATGGGGGAAGGAGTAGGAGGCGAGTTGGGAGGGAGGTGCTTGTGTGGCACCGAGACCCCCAGCAGGGATGGGGAGTGGGGGTGTTGGCCGCCTTAGCTTCCTGCTTTGACCCTTTCTTGGCTGGTTTCAGCCAGGAAAGTGGGGGGTCCTAAGGCTTGGATATGGAGAGGTGGAGGAAAGGAGCGTGGCCCCGCATCTCCCCTGGAGATCCAGAATAGACTTTCTCAGGGTTGTTCCCAGGCTGGAGGGAGGGAATTTTAGGGGTACGTGAGGTGACTCCCAGGAGCCTTGGGTGCAAGCACTGGGGGATCCCAGAGACCCAGAAGATGGGGGTAGGGAGAAGGTGTCTGCTTTCTTGGGGAGTAGCCTCAAAATAAGAGGACCGAGCGAAGTCATTCCAAACGCAGTGAGAAGGTAGTTTATGCTCTTCCAATCGGATGGGGTGGAGCTTAGACCTCTGCAAAAGAAGGGGGTCATGCGGAGGGGACGGTGCACAGATGAGGCGTCGGGCTCCTAAACGGGAAACGGGAGGCTCTAAGAGGCACTGCCTTGTCCTCCAGCCTCGGTGTAGTGGGGGTGGTGAGCGTCTGGAACTGGGTTTCCCGAATCCGGACAGAAGTCTAAATGGAGCTCACAAAAACCAGCCAGGGAGGGAGAGAACCAGGGGAGACTCCTCACACAGGGGTTAGGGGTGGCGGCAAACTGGGAACCCAGGCTTGGGGCGAGGGATTTTCTCAATAGACCACAGGGTCCACTACTGTGGACCGAAGGGATTTGGGGGAGCTAAAGGGGACTCTCACTTTGGCCAGCAAGGGCTGAGGACGGATTGGGGAAGCGGATACGGTTTCTACTGGGGTGGTGCTGATGGAGGTTCCCCACTCGGGACGCGAGCCACTGAGAGGGTCCCCCAAACTGGATATGGGATACAGGGAACGGAGCGAGGGCTCTAAATTAGAGCCCTGGGTCGGGGGGACTCTAAATTAGGTTGGGAGGAAACTGGGGGCTCTGAGGGCAGCTTCTCGCTCCGACTGGGGAAATGGAGCGTGTGAGGGCTGGGGGGTACTGGGGCCGTCTCCCGCCCTACCCAAGGAGATTGGGGTTCTCTTCAATTCTGGACAACAGGGACCTGAGAGGGAAGACCGGGGGTGTTCCCGATCCGGAACCGAGCTACCTTGGAGGCACCGGGAAGCGCTTCATTCCGGGAGGGCGTTCCCGCTGCCAGGCCCCCGCGCCTGGGTGGGTGGGGGGTGCGGCCGCGCCCTGGTCCCGGCCCGCACCAGGATCCAGGGTCTGGCTCGGCCCCGGGGACCCGGGAGCCTCGCGGGAGGGGGGTCCCGGCGCCGCCGCCTCCGCGGGCGCCCGGGCGCGCGGGCAAGCGCTGGGCTTTATGCGCGCAGGGCGGCGGGGGGAGGAGCCGGCAGGTCGGCCCCCGGCGGGCCCTCCCCTCGGCCGTCCCCGCCCGCCCGCCCGAGCGGGGTCGGGGGAGGGGGCAGCATGGCCTGTCCGTCCGGCCCCCTTCGCCGCGCTCCTCATCTGCCCCGCGCCGAGAGCCGCCGCCGCCGCCGCCGCCGCCGCTCCGCTGCCCGCGCCGCCCGCGGCTCCCGATGGAGACTGACGCGCCCCAGCCTGGCCTCGCCTCCCCGGACTCGCCGCACGACCCCTGGTATGGCCCGGTCCGGCCTGCCTGGCCCGCGCCCGCCCCGGCCCCGCCAACATGGCCGATCCGGGTCGGGCCGGGCCTCCCCGGGGCCCGGGCCCGCGCCCCCTGCGCCCTGGCGCCCGGCGCTCACGCGGGCCCTTTGTGTCTCTCCTCCTCCCGCAGCAAGATGTTCATCGGGGGACTCAGTTGGCAGACTACGCAGGGTGAGCGAGCCCGGGAGCGCCCGCCGGCCCGGCAGGGTACCCCGGACCCCCCGGCGCCCCGGACCCGGACACCCCAGCCTGGCCCTGCGCCCTGCTGACCCCGGGCGCCCTCGCGCCCTCTTTCGCGCCCCGCCCGGGGACCCCGACAGCGCAGGGCGATCCGCGAGCGCACCCGGCCTGGCGGGTGGAGGGGAACAGATGAGGGGTTCAGGGGATATCGGGGGGTGGGCTGGGCCCCCGGGACCCGCCGGTGGCAGCGCCAACTCTGCTCGCACCTGCGGCTCAAACTTTTGTGAGGCTGCTCCCGGAGCGGCGGGAACCCGGCCGGAGCCGTCCCCCCTCCAGCCCAGCTCGGCCCTCGGCTTCCCCGGGCCCCGGTGGGCGCCAGGAGGCTCCGCGAGAACCGGGCGAGGGCGGTGGGGGGGCGGCGGCAGTGGAGAGCGCGCGGGCAGCTTGGCGCGGGGGCGGCCGGGCCGCTCCAGGGTCACCGGGGGCAAAGGACGGGGGAGGGGGGAAGGGCGCGGGGCCCGGGCTGGTCCGAAGGCGGGTGTGTGGTTACAGAAGGGCTGCGCGAATACTTCGGCCAGTTCGGGGAGGTGAAGGAGTGTCTGGTGATGCGGGACCCCCTGACCAAGAGATCCAGGTGAGCCCCTCACCCCCTCCTCCTGCTCCCGGCTCGCCCCCCTCCACCCGCCACTCACTGCCTTGTAACCATCTGCCTCTCCCTCACTACGGCGCGCAGGGGTTTCGGCTTCGTCACTTTCATGGACCAGGCGGGGGTGGATAAAGTGCTGGCGCAATCGCGGCACGAGCTCGACTCCAAAACAGTGAGTGGCCCTCAGGGCTTCAGGGGTCCTTTGGGAGAGGGAGGCTGCCGGAGGAGAGGGTCAGGACTCTCCCCAGGGGACAGCTGGATGGGGTCCATGAAGAAGGAGGGAGTTCTTCTGAGTAAGAGGGCTGCCATGCTCTGAAACTTTGTCACTAGAGTTGGGGGGGAAGAGGGAGGAGAGAAATCCCGGCCTGAGATGAGATGCTACATCCCAAATCCCCTAGTCCTGGTGAGGGGAGAGGCAGCCGCCACCCTCTCCCTAGAAGTACTAATCATGATGCCCCAGAGCAGAGCTTGGGGTGGGGCTAGGTCCCTCCCCCAACCCAAATTGGGTGAGTCAGGGTAGCAGTGACCCACCCGGTGGCCTCTGTGAACTCTAACTAGTATTTGGCTCTGCGACACCCCCTCTTCATCCAGACCAATGGCAAAGCATCCCTGAAGCCCCCTCCCTCCCTCCTTCCCTCCTCCCCCGACTTTTGGTCCTTGCTTTGTGTGCAAGACAGGGACCTGCTTTGCCCACGGAGGGGATTTATGAGAAGGGCTCTGGCTTGCCTGGAAACAGCCCTTTGGAAGACTAGATCTTAGGAGAAGCTGCTTGGTTGGCATTCAAACTCCTGGAACATTTTGCTGTTGTCCCACAGCTCCTTCTTGTCTTAGATCCTGCAGGGGGCGCTGGCTTCAGGGGAGATGGGAAAGGAGAAAAGTCAGAGGAGGGGGTTACCCCCATGTGATGGGGGTGTCTGTCTGCCGGGGGCAGGGACAGTGTGGATCTCTTCTCTCCTCACTTCCCGGCTGTCCCCCAGCCCTGGGCCTCTCTGCTTGGGTCAGTCCCTGGCTCCTGTTTACCTGCAACAATAGCTGCTTGTGCCCAAGAATTTGTCAAATTACCGCCTGTCCCCAGCTCCTGTTATCTCTGCCCAGTGGCTCCCACTCCCGCTCGCAGTAATGAGCAAATGAGGCCAGGCCTCAACTTTGCCGGCTCTGAAAGGATCTTCTTGGCGCAGCCTGAGTGACCCAAGCCTGGAAATGGAGAGACAGTGGCCTATTGTTTTTGGTGATTATCTGCCATCAAGCTGCCTGTTCTCCTACCATCCCCTGTCCTCAGAATGCACTGATGGCTTCTGCAGTGCTCAGGAAGCTGAGATTTAGGGGCTGGGGGATGGAGGAGTGGAAGATTGATACAGGAGAAGAGAATGAGGGAAGAAGGAGGTCGAGATGAGTATCCTTAGGAGATGGGGCCGAGGAGGGCCAGGGCTTTGTCTGTGTTTGGCGTCCTCCGGCCTGGGAAAGGGGGTGGGAGGGACGTTTACTGTGGAGAGTCTATTTTGAGTTCTGACTTTCACCTTTTATTTATTTGTTGGGTTTTATTTATGTTGCCAGCTGTGAGTCACAGTGGAGGTGGGGTGTGTCAGGGATTGGGTGTGCGTGGGTCTGTGGGAACGTGGCTTGGGACTGTCTCCCCATCGGGGTCTGTGCAGGGGGACTGTTTGTTGTGTGCTGGTGGCCGGGGCAGCTGCTTCTGGGAGAAACAGAAGGATAAACATGTCCGTAGAGGTATGGAGTTGAAACTTCAGACAGGAGAAACCGGCAGTTGTGATTTTCCCGGGAGCCCAGTGGGACTTGGCAGGAAAGGAGGCATTGCCTTAGCATGGATTTTGGAGGTTCCATCTCTGTGGACAGATTCCAGTGGGGGAGCCTATAAGAGGCTAGTTCCTGGTTCGTGCCATTCAGAGGGAAGCCAGAGCCAGTTGCCTAGAACGAGGCTGAGTTTTGAACAGAAGGAACTTTGGGAAAAGATAGATCTTCCCTGCGATTGGCTGGTGAACTTATGAATGACGTCCATCCATGTGGGTGGCAAAAAGCTCTGGTCTGACCTGGCCTGGTAGGCCCTGCATGGATCACAGTGTCTCATGCCCTGTCTTTTGCTGTTTGTCATACAGCTATAGTACCCAGGAGTACACCCAGATGCATCCTGATTTTTCCCTCTGGTTGTTCTGCCAAGGGCAAAGGTGACCTGCTGGTAATAGCACCTTTGTTTGTGCAATGAAGGGCAGTTCACAAAGGGCCGCTTTCACTGCGTTATCTCATCTGATTCCCCGAAGCTGCCCCTGGGAAAAGCGGGTGTGATTGTCCCCACTTTGCAGATGAAGGAACTGAGGCTCAGAGGGTTCGAGTGCATTACCAAGATCACAGTCTTGGCAAGAGGCCCAGAGTTTCTAAGTTCAAGTCCCGTGCCCTTTCATGTCACCGAAGACTGCACTCTGCCTTGCCCCAAGCCTAGCTGCATTATCAGGGAGCTGTTTGCTCACAGCATCAAGGAGAGCTGTTTGATGTTGATAGTACTGGGAAAACAGAACCGAGCCTTCTCCTGATGGTTATGAACTCTGTCTTGTGGCCTTTTGCAGACAAAGAGCATTTGCATTTGCATTTTCAGGGTTTCCAAAGCCTGAATTGCATACCTTACCTAGATAGGTAGTCTGCGTGAAGTCAGTTACGAAAGGAAGGCCCTCAATTTACCTGATACTTGAAGGAATAAGACTTGGCTTACCTTTTTTTGTTTTTGTTTTTGCTGTGAGCTAGACACCATGCCAAGTGCTTTGTATGCATTATCTCCAATAATCTGCTGATGACCCTTTGAGGTGGGTGTCATTATTTGCCCATCTTGCAGGTGAACTTGACCCTGACATTCAAAGAGGGGAAATAACTTATCCATGGTCTCACAACTGAGAAGCAGTTGGATTTGAACCCAACAGTGGGATGTTGGGGTCTAAATGCTTAACTGGCTGGGCGCAGTGGCTCACGCCTGTAATCCCAGCACTTTGGGAGGCTGAGGCGGGTGGATTACCTGAGGCCAGGAGTTTGAGACCAGTCTGGCCAACATGGCAAAACCCCATCCTACTAAAAATACAAAAATTAGGTGGCTGTAATGGTGTATGCCTACAATCCCAGCTACTCAGGAGGCTGAGGCAGGAGAATCACTTGAACCCGGGAGGTAGAGGTTACAGTGAGATGAGATCATGCCACTGCACTCCAGCCTGGGCAATAGAGCGAGACTCTGTCTGAAAAAAATGAAAATAAAATAAAATAAAATAAAATAGGTGCTTAGCCACTATTCTCTCCTCTTAGAGGCTTTTGGGGTTTCTGGCACTTTTGTGTCCTGGGAGGAGAGAGGTCCTGAGGGCTGAAGGCTGGCTGTGTGGTCACGATTCTGAAAAGTGCGATAACCAAGACCCCTCTTACCTCTCTCTTTTCTTGTAGATTGACCCCAAAGTGGCCTTCCCTCGGCGAGCACAGCCTAAGGTAGGTGTGTCTATGTCTGGGAGGAGTTCTCTTACTGCAGGCAATACTGGGTAGTGATTTTCCCAGTATTCCCTGCTCTGGAAGATGCTTCTGGAACCTCTACTTGGAGTGTTTGTGGAATGGGCTGGGCTGGGAAGAGGGGATTCTTGAGGTCCTTGCTCTGTGGCCTAAAGACACTCCACATGAGCTCTGGGGCAGACTGGAGAGGGGCTTGGGTGTGCTGGGAGAAAGGGGAGCTACTCCGAGGATTCATCGTCCTGTATTTGAAGCCTACAGTAGAGTTTAGAGCCTCAGTCTAATTCCACCATCATAGGCCACAGCCCTGAGGCCCAGACCTCTGGAAGTGAAATACAGGACAGACTTAGACCCCGAGGCCGAGCTACCGTCAGGCTAGGCAGCGACACTTTGGTCCTCCCAGTCACCCTTCGCAGAGGCAGAGGGGACCACGGACTCTGTCACCTGCTGTCTTTCAGTCTAGATGTCTCTGGATGCTTTCTCAACACTCTTACCCTGGTGCTCTGGCGAGTTCTCCAAGTGAGAGGGGCAAGGTGTGCCGAAGATGGATTTCTGAGCAGTTGAGCCATACAGCACTCAAAAAATTTTGGTGCAGGGCAGGGGCCTAAGAATCTATTCCACGCCACAGGGCAACTAGCCAGGTCTTCATTTTGAAGTGACTGAATATAGAGGGCAGGAGGAAAGACTGGTCACAAAACAGGGGGTCAGGACCCCTGAGTTTACTGACTTATCCTGGGTCCTGGGATGAGGGCCCTCTCCAGGAGAGCTCCGTCTCTCCCTCTGCCAGGTGGAACTAGAACTCTAGGATTCTGAGCCTGTGAGTTCCATCAAGGCCCCCAGCTCCTGCCAGGGCTGAAGGAGAGGAAGAATTTTGGGAGACAGGAAAGGGGCATCTCTGGAAGGGTCCAGTAGAGGGCCTGAAAGCAATTATGGAGCAGGTATTTGAAGGAAGCTGCACCAGGGAGCACATGGTCGGAATTGGGTTAATTCCATTAAGCAGTTTGGTGACAGAAGGTGCTTTAGTGTTAGGATGGGGCTGGGAATTGCCGCGGATTAGCCATGCGCTCCTGGGGTAATTAGGACCATGTGTTCTTCCTAAAACAGGGCTGGGGCCACGGGGCTGCCAGAGGTTGTGTTGGGAGGAGGTTGATGAGGAAAATGTCGGCTTTCAGCTCAGGGAGACTCTGTGATGGAGCATGGGGGTTCTCCCAGGAGGGCCAGTGGGGTCTTAGAGTTAGGCCGTGGGTCTGGGTCACCGGCCTGCCCCCTGCCCTGTGTTAGTCCTTAGGGAAGGCATTTTCTGGACTTAGTCCCTAGGGAGGGAGGCAGGAAGGAGGCACATTCGAGCCAGCCAGGGTGTGGGTGCACAGCTGCCCATGACAGGCCTAGAGGCGGGGGTCCAAGAGGGAGCCTGGGGGGGGGGACTTTCAAGAGGCTGGGGCCACAGAGAGCTTGTCAGCTGGCATCCTGGCAGGGGGGCTGGAGCCCCTGCTGGTGGCAGTAGGCCACAGGACTCAGATGCCCACTTTCTCATTCCCTCCCCTAACAGATGGTGACTCGAACGAAGAAGATCTTTGTGGGGGGGCTGTCGGTGAACACCACAGTGGAGGACGTGAAGCAATATTTTGAGCAATTTGGGAAGGTGGGTTTAAACTGGGGGTGCTCGCTGCTGGGGCTGTGAGTGCGCTGTAGAATGGGGCAGTCGAAAGCTGGACCCAGCCAGGTCATTCAATTCCTGCCAAAGATGAGAGCGGGGCTGGGTCCTGCTGTGTGTGGGGGGAGACGAGGCAATCCACCTTGCAGCCTCCTGGCTCATCTGTGAGCCTCAGACTCTGGACTTCCCTAGGGACAGGGAAGCCACACAGTAGCTGGCCCTGTTGTTGCCCTTCCACTGTATTTTTCTCTTGCTTATCTTCATTCTCCCAAGGGAGGCAGCGCTCCGGCAGCCAGTTCAGTCAAGTCACCCCGTGGCCCCCTGGGAGTCTGCGCCTGTCCAGGTCACGGGCTATTGAACCCTTCCCCACTCCTTCCTGGCGAGGATGATAAGGAGGCAATAAATATGACTCCCAAGTTCTCTCGGTACCCTATTTGCACAGGTGGGGAGCTTGGAGCAGGAGCTGGGGGGGCTGCTGGTCCCCTGGGTATTGTGGGGAGCTGATGAGAACACCCTGAATTCCTGATCAGGAATTGAGGGTGTTTTATTTGAAGATTTAATTTCTGGGCCTCTGAAGAGGTAGAAGTTGTGGCGACATCAGACAATAGGGTGTCCTCTGAAAGGGGAACAATGTGAACTTTGGGGTCCCATGCGGAGATGGCAGAGAGGGGCCTAGGTTTGAAGTCTTAGGAGGGAAAGAGGGTTGTTTTGCTTGGGGCAGGGGTGGCTGGTCTTTCTTTTCTTAGGTGAGACAGGAGAGAGACTGGGTCTCCACTTTCCCATCAAGACACTTCGAGTCACCCCAGGCAAGCCAAGGGGAACGTGGCCTGGGAAATGGGCCTGGGATTGTGTGTGTGGGGAGGTGTCCCTTGGCCGGCGGAGGCTGGTGGTGTGGGGGACCAGAGGCCTCGGCTGTGGTGCCTCGGTGGGCACCTGGGTCAGGGAGGAGGGCAGGTCGAGCGGGTCTGGGCCCCAGAGGGCAGGGCGCTCCTGGGAAGCAGCAGGCCCGGCTCGGCTGCGGCGGGGTGTCTTTGTGTCTGAGCGCCGAGCATTAGAGCTCGCACTAATCTGATCCAGCAGCTGTGATTGGAGGCCGCCTGCCCCCGGGGCCGGCGTTGCCATGGCAACCGGGCCCCAGGAGAAGCCGTCAGCGGCCGCGTCTTTTGTTCGGGCCTAAATCGGCGTTGGCATGTGAAACCGGCCCGGGGAGGCCAGGGGGAGCCGGAGAATAGGCTGCCAGGGAGCGAGGGGGACAGCCGGGAATGCCAAGGGCCCCGCGGCAGGGGGCCCCCCGCCCGGATCGAGGGGCCGCCGCCGAGGGGGGAACAATGGTCAGCCGCCATGGCTGCCACTCAGGCTTAGCGGCCGCCGAACTTGGCGGCTCGGCTCCCACTGGTCAGCGGGCCTCGGCTGCCTCCCCTCCCCCGTCCGATCCCCCCTGCCCTCGGGTTCCCATGGAGACCAAAGCCTATTAAGGACATTGGGCGGGGAGCCTCCCTTCCCTCATCTGGCCCCAGGAGGGGACACCGGTGGGGGTAACCTGGACCCCCAGCCATCTTCCTTGCCCCCTGCCCTGGCCTCAACCCCACCGCCCCACTGGGGGCCTCTCCAGCCAAGGCCCAGGTTGAAGGGTGTAGCGGGGCCGGGGATGGTGGCCTTCCTTGCAGGGTTGGGTGGAGGAAGGCAGGAAAGGTTGTGGATTTGGGCAGAGTCCATTTGTGGGTCAGGCAGGGACTGGGAGCTGTAGGATTCGGGAGCAGAGTGTGTCTGGTTCTTCCCTTCATTTCATTCATTCATTCAAAAAATGATTGAGCTCCACTCAAGGTGTTCAGTAGGATGGCAATCATTGCCCTAAATGACACAGACGCTGTCCTCATGCAACCTTCAAACCAGTAGCATCGGGCTGCTCTCTCTCCAGCTTTGCATCGCTCCCTGGTATAACTATGGGCAAGTCCCTCCCTTGTATAGATAACAATGATAGCTATTATTTATTAAGCACTTACTGTATCCCAGGTGCTGTGAGTTAAGAGTGTTACATGCACTGTCTCATTAAATCCTCCCATAGCCAGGCTCAGTGATGAGCACCTGTAGTCCCAGCTACCAAGAAGGCTGAGATGGGAGGATTGCTTGAGCCTAAGAGTTCAAGACCAGCCTGGGCAATGTAGTGAAAACCCATATCCAAAACAAAAAAAAGTGTCTTTCATTTAACTTCAGCCTGTGAGTGTGAGATAGACACTGTTATGCCTATTTCGCAGATAAAGAACCAAAGTGAGACAGACAGCAAGTCACCTGCCCAGGGTTACCCAAGCAGCAAATGCAGGATCCAGGATTCCAGCTCACGCCTGTCCTACCCAAAGCCTGTGTTTTGATCACAATCATTCTTTCTGGGTTTCTGATTTTCCATTGGTTAAGCAAGGGGTGGTGAAGATGTGCTGAGCCTGAAATGACTGTCCTGTTTGGATGGTGCAGTTGATTTGGGATTGGGACTCAGATTGGGTCCATAGGATGGGAGTGAGAGTGTCACTCTGCTGCCTGGGCCCCAGTGCAGGGAGTGCTTTGAGAAGAGCGATGTCATGAGATTCTCCAGGGACCTTGTTGCCTCCTGGCTCAGTGGGGTCCTGGTTCTCCCAGCGGGAGTGAAGGCCCACTGTAGCTTGATGCCCAAGGAGAGCTAAAGGATCACTGTAGTTCAGGGTCTTTAATGAGGCAGGGGAGGGCCTTTAGAAGGTGGATGATGGGGTCAGGCGCGTTGGCTCATGCCTGTAATCCCAGCAATTTGGGAGGCTGAGACAGTGGATCACTTGAGGCCAGGAGTTCAAGACCAGCCTGGCCAGCATGTAAAACCCCGTCTCTACTAAAATATAAAAATTAGCCAGGAGTGGTGGCATGCACCTGTAATCCCAGCTACTCAGGAGGCTGGGGCAGGAGAATCACTTAAACCTGGGAGGCGGAGGCTGCAGTGAGCCGAGATCGTGCCATTGCACTTCAGCCTGGGTGACAGAGTGAGACTCTGTCTCCCAAAAAAAGAAGGTGGATGATGGGCCTGGAAGTAGAGGGAAGGATCTGGTAACCCGTAGCTTGAGAGAAGCTTTTTTGTTGTTGTTGTTGTTATCTTTTGGCTGTCTGGCCATTTGGGAGAGGGTTAGGGCCTGGAGTAGAATTGGGTTGGGTATCAGAGGCAGCCCCTGATTTATACCAAGCGTGACTCAGACCTTAGCTAAGAAAGAGGGCAAGGAGGAGGTACCAGATGCAGGCAAAAGGAAGGTGCCCCAAGGCCTTTAGCGTCCCGTGTATCCAAGGGGTACCTGGAGGAAGTCACAAGAGTGGACTGGGGTCCAAGAGAAGATGGATGATGTAGACCCTCCCCCTTCCCCAGTCTCCTTCCCCTCCCCCAGTCATTGGGAGGCAAGCAACCCAGGCACTGAACTCTACTTGCTTTAATTACAGCCTCTAGCAAAAGGAAACCTCAATTAGAGGAAAAGATCTGTACCCGGAGAGGGGAGTCCAGTCTGGTTGCTGCCCTCCTGACCTTTTGCAAAAAGGGATGAGGCTTTTGCTTCCCCATCTCACCATTTTCCTCCCCCAACATGTTTCCTTCTCTAGCATCTTCTCTGTGCCTCCCCAGGTTGGTCAAGGTCTTGCTGTGTGACCTTGGGCAGGCAACTTCACCTTTCTGAGCCTATTCACTACACCATGGGGCTCTTACCATGCAAGGAATGTGGGGAGGATGCTGGAGCTTAATAAATGCAGGCTGGTCCAATGAGATTATGGTGATTGAAAAGGGGGCACTGTGGCATTCAGTGGGGTTGCAGAAGGAAAGTTGTCCCCTGCGCAGGGAGCAGGTTTAAGGTCAAGTCTGGAGTGGGCAGGAGGGCAGTGGGTTCCTCGGTCATGGCGGGTTCCCCTGGTGTCTGCTGGGTCCTCCATGGCAGACTGTGTTTCAGGTGGACGATGCCATGCTGATGTTTGACAAAACCACCAACCGGCACCGAGGTGAGTGTGGCCCCTCCCCCTTCCCAGGCTGGGCCCCGTGGTCAGCCAGGGGGCTGCAGGTCACAGCTGCCCTTTCATCTCGTCTCCTGACATCCTATCCCCCAGGATCTGCGTCCTCTCCTGGGTCTGGCCTTACAGAAGGCTTTTGTCCTGCCATTTCCTGTGCTAGAAACTTGCCGAATTGCAGACACCCGAGAGGAACAGAGTAGTACCCCCCGCCCCCTGCAACCCACTGAGACTCTCGCCCACACCCTAGTGCTGTCTGCCTCTGCTGGAGCTTACCTTGTCCCTGGTAACCAGAGCTTAGGCCAGGCTGCCCAGGGTCAGGCTGACTCCACAGCCCCAGGCAGACACCTCTTGCCCAGCCCTCAGCCCTCTTGCCTCTGAACCTGTGAGCGTCCGGGCCACACCATGTGCGCTGCCTGGCTTTTTTCTCCCGAGGGCCTTACCTTTTGAGAAACCCCTTTCCAGCCCCTGGGGCACCCCCAAGAGGAGACAGCGTTGTTTCTCCAGTTGTTTTGGGGGCTTTTAGTCCATTTTGGGAATGGGGTATGTGCTGTGTGTGTGTATATATATCTGTGCATAAGGGCGTGTCTGTGCCTAAATATCTGTGTATATTTGGTATGTCAGGGTAACTGCACATGTAGAGCACCCCAAGAGTCTGTGTGATATGCAGGTACCTAGGTGTGTGCATGTGTGTATATGTGTGTGTCTGTGTACATTTGTATGTTTGGACATGTACACCTTTGTGTAAGTTTAAATGAGTGTGCATGTGTGTTCTTTCTTCCCTTTTTGGAAAATACCCGAGGACAAGAAAAAGCATGTTGAGTGTATTCTCATCACAGCTCTACCACTTTCTAACTTGCTGTGTGACCTTGGGCAAATTACTTCACTTTTAACTTGGGGCTTGAAACCCTGTGTCAGTGGGTAGCTGAGAGGCTTCCGGGCTGTGAGCAGAGCCTTTGATTAACTCTCAGTCACCAGAGAGAGAGGAGCAGGGGTATTGGTATGACCCGGGGTTGGGTTTTGACCCTGCGCTCTGGTTCTGACCTTGCCTTTGTCCTTTGTCCAACTTCTAGGGTTCGGGTTTGTCACATTTGAGAGTGAGGACATCGTAGAGAAAGTGTGTGAAATTCATTTTCATGAAATCAACAACAAAATGGTGAGTTGGGACCGGGCGTGGTGGCTCACGCCTATAATCCCAGCACTTTTGGGAGGCTGAGGTGGGCGGATCACTTGAGGCCAGGAGTTCTAGACCAGCCTGGCCAACGTGGTGAAACCCCATCTCTACTAAAAATACAAACATTAGCTGGGTGTGGTGGTGTGTAATCCCAGCTACTTGTGAGGCTGAGGCAGGAGAATCACTTGAACCCAGGAGGCAAAGTTTGCAGTGAGCTGAGATCGTGCGACTGCATTCCAGCCTGGGCAACAGAGTGAGTGAGACTCTGTCTAAAAAAAAAACATGGTGAGTTGAGACTGGATGGAGCGAGATACAGGGAAGACTGGGGCTACTAGGAGCCTGCCAGTGAAGCGCCGAGTTTCTAAAGGCAGGCAGAAGGGCTCGGAGTAAGTGGAGGCAGAGCCAGTTCTCCTACCCTCTGAAAACCTAGATTGGGAAGCAGTGTCACATGGTAGTTAATCAGGCTGATGACTTCCCTTCTCTGAGCCTCAGTTTCCGCATCTGTCAAATGGGAGTGGAAAAGCTCCTCTATCATAGTATCGGTGTATGTGTTCATTGAACAATTGTATGCAAAGCCATTTATACAGACCCTAGCACATAGTGAGCGCTCCATGAGTGGTAACCATGAAATTGCTTTCAGATGGACGATGAAATTAATAAAGAGGAACAAGAAGGTTAATGACCCTAGCTCTGTAGGAAAGACTCACCGCCAGGTCTCATTGCAGGTGGAATGTAAGAAAGCTCAGCCAAAGGAGGTGATGTCGCCGACGGGCTCCGCCCGGGGAAGGTCTCGAGTCATGCCCTACGGAATGGACGCCTTCATGCTGGGCATCGGCATGCTGGGTATGCGCGAGCCTGCGCCTGCGGCTTCTTTCTGCCGGAACTGCTCCCAGGGCTAGCAGGGGCTGTGTGGGTGTTGCACCTCCTCTGTGGTCTGCCCTTCTCCAGTCTGAGTCATTGGGCAGGGTGGGGACTAGGGATCGGTCGGGTCTAGCAGTCCTACCCAAGGTGGGGTGATTTGGTTGGGGGGTGCTGCCCTCTGGTGGTGGCCAGAAAAAAGGTCCAATCATATTAATTGGTCCTGTCAATCTGACTAGGCTCTCCTCCATCCCTCCCTCCATCTGTCCATTCCTCCATCCATTCATTCATCCAGTACACAGTTATTGAGCAACTCTATATGCCAGACATTATGCCAGGAATTGCAACAATGACTTTCCTTGGGGCTTTACAATCTGGCAGGGAAAACAAGTAAGAAGATAAATAGATTTCAGATGCAGAAGTGTAGGGTGCCAAGGGAGTGTGGTCATAGGGAACTTGACCACGACTTGGAGTGGTCAAAGTGGGAAAGGAAGTTACATTTGAGTTGAGTTTGCGGGTAGAGTAGGAGCCAGTTATGGGGAGGCTGGAGAGAAGGGAAGGGGAAGTGTTCCAGGCAAAGGGAACAGCATTTGCAAAGGTCTTTGGAGGGGCAAAAGGAAGACTGCCTGGTCTTATTCATTCAAGTAACACTTATTGAGCAACTTCTGAGAAGCAGAACCTGCTCTCATGGGGCTTTCCTTCAAGTGAGAGACAGCAATAAATAGGCACTGCCACTACAGAGTGACTGGAGGCCGTGGGGGCCCCAAGGAGGCATCTAAACCCACCTGGAGGCTGGGGAGACTTCCTGGAGGAGCTGAAGGCTGCTACGAACCTTGAGAGCTGGGCAGGAGTCAGCTGTGCTTTGGATGTAAGACTGAGGGTGGTAAATCTGAGTTTGGCCCCCAGGAAGCTCAGAGGCTCCCTGTGGAGATGAGATGAGTACACACAGAACCAGAACAGTATAAGGGGGTCTTTATGCCAGGTATGGGGGAGGGGTGCACAGAGAGGTACTCTGGGAATTCAGAGGAGGGGGCACAGTGTGAGCTAGAGGGTCGGAAGTGGGGAGGCAAGCAGGCTCCAAATAGGGCACAGTCTTCCTTGAAGTTTTTCTTCTTTCTTTAACATGTTATTTGTGTTATTTGGAAGTAATTCCAAACTCACAGAGGAGTCAAAAAAATAAAATAGTACAAAGAACATCCGTTTGCCCTTTTATCAGATTCACCTGTTCTTAACATTTTGGCCCATTTTGCTTGATCAGTTTTACTCTATGTGTATATATGTGTGTGTATATGTGTTTGCAAATATGTAGGTACACATGTATACACACAAACACAAACACACACACTTGCGGTTTTTCCCTGAATCATTTGAGGGTTGGTTCCATGCCTCATGGCCCTTTACCCTTTGATGCTTCCTAGGATTAGGGGTATTCTTTCATGTAACCATAGTTTAGTTACCAGCTTCCTAAGTTTATAATTGATACAGTATTTTTATTTAATCTATTCTCTGTTTTCCAATTATATCAATCAATTGATGCAATAATGCTCTTTTTTGTTGTTGTTGTTGTTTTTTGTTTTTTTGGTAGAGACAGGGTCTCACTATGTTGCCCATGCTGGTCTCGAACTCCTGGCCTCAAGCAGTCCTCTTGCCTCAGCCTCCTAACATGTTGTGGTGGTAGGCATGAGCCACCAGGCCTGGCCAGACCCAGTAATGCTCTTTATAGAATATTTTTGTCCTTCAGAAGAAGATCCAGGCTAGAATCAGGTATTGTAGTTAGTTTACCTGTCTCTTTCACCTTGTTTTAAATAGAACATTGAGAAAGTTTTCTTCTAAGGTGATTCATGAGCTGGTTTCACCCCCTAATTAAAAGGTGGAAAAAGAAAGATAGAAATTCTCTAACAAATAGTGAGATTGGTGCTTAAGAGGCTTGTAGCCAGTCAGCTCTGAATTTCAACCTTAATTGCATCATTATTGCGATTTGATTTTTCTCTGAGAAGACAGAAAATCAGCTGCCGGAAGCAGTGGCTCACGCCTGTAATCCCAGCACTTTGGGAGGCTGAGGTGGGCGGATCACGAGGTCAGGGGTTCGAGACCAGCATGACCAACATGGTGAAACCCTGTCTCTACTTAAAAATACAAAAATTAGCCGGGCCTGGTGGTGTGCACCTGTAATCCCAGCTACTCAGGAGGCTGAGGCAGGAGAATCACTTGAACCTGGGAGCTGGAGGTTGCGGTGAGCTGA